TTTCCCATCCTCATATAAATATATTTGCATATGTACATGTCTTTATCTAGAACTCTATAAATGCTCTTTCCTCTATTTCCCTTGATTTTCCTCCTGGAGGGACCCTTTGTCATGAAAATATATTCACTTTGCCAAAGGATATCTGTTAAAAAGCTTGGATTTAGATTCGGGCTCTGGGTAACCTAAACTTTGTGGCCTTGGATTAATACAGTTTTCTTAGGTCCCACCTTCAGCATAAATTTTGATGATAACATTTATAAAACACAGAACAGACAACTAGAGGAAAGTGGGTTTCTAGTCCTGAAAATGGCCAGCAATAGATGTTTTTGAAATTGACTTGGTGGATGTAGGCGTTAGAAAGCTGTCTTTGTATGCCTCTTTCCTATAATTAAAGTATTTTAATACTACTTAATAATTTCAGGAAATTCAAAGTACTATTAGTATTTTTCTTCAAAACAAAAGGCATTCTGTAAGTAAGCTCTTTAATAAAATTAAACCTATTTGTTACTTTCTAGACATCTCAGACATTTTAATATTCCAATAGCTCTGAAGACTAAGGAGGTGGTTATATAGGACCCGGTAGAACTGCCTCTATGTGTTTCTGTCTTTCTCTGGAGGAGCACTGGTGGTTTTGAACTGCTGATCTTGCAGATTGCAGCCCAACACAACCACAACACCACTAAGACTTGTAGGGGTTATTATGTGGAGCACTTATATTGTAAACCTATTTTACAAAAAAATTATGATGAAACCACTATTAACAGCTTTCTAGCCATAGTGTTCAATAGAGTGAAGGTTGTTAAAGTCTGTACATTGAGTTGTCTTGCCCTGAAATTTTGCTAATAAATATGGTGATATTCAAATAAACCAGCTAACTATTTTTAGTGATACCTTTTAAGATTTTTTAATGTAATTTCTGATTTGTTGTGTAGCATTATTAATCTTAAAAAGAGGATTTATAAAATTTAGTTAAAATTAGAGCAAAGCTAAGTAAGCTAAAAGGAAAAGAATTTGCCCTCAATTTAAGTATTTTTAATAATCCCATTTTAAAAATTTTAATAAATTCATAAGAAGTGAAAGGTAGTCATTTATCACTTAAAGAAATAACGGAGTATTGGACTATAAGGTTGATTGGCCAAGACTGGAGGACCAAGACTATGTTAACGCAGTCGCCTCTAATTGATAGCTATCAAACTTTCGAAAATAAATTTATTGTCCCGGGGATAAACGTTGCTGTTTCCAGGTGTCTAAAGCAATAGTATAATACCGAAGATGGTGGTGTCATCATCATTGTTCACCCTATTTGTTATTAGCAGTTACTGAGTTATGTGCCAGGGCCAAGATCGTAATGCTTTTTCCTTAGGACCATTTTGAAAGGTAGATTCAGCCAATGTGAAGCAGAATCACCTTCCTTTTGCCTGATTCCCGGGCGCACATTCTCTGCCTTTCTACTGTTGCCTCATTTGACTACCTCTGCTGTGTGGTCTGGGATGCCTTTTCTTGTTCCAGCAGCGACTCACTTGTCATACTAAATCTAATAACTGTTAAAACATTAGTTTTTGATCATTATTTGTTACATGGTTAAAAATAACTCTTCAATAGTATATTATAATTTGTCATTAAATGTGTAGATTTTTTAAATGTCAAGCTCAAAATCAGAGGTAAGAGAAACAGGAGAAGAGGAATTTCAAGAAATTTTAAAAATTGTAAAATTTTAGTCTAATAAAAGCAGAAATTCAAGTTTTTCTCTAAAACTGTATTTATTTACTAGTAAGACAAACTTAACCTCTTGAGAAAGTTGTGAAAATTTTGTTCTTTTTTTTAAAAAAGCATTTTATTGAGGGCTCTTACAGCTCTTGTAACAATCCATACACTACTTGTGTCAAGCACATTTGTGCATATGTTGCCATCATGATTTTCTATTGAGCCCGTGGTGTCAGCTCACCCCCCCTCCCATGGGACTCTTGTTCTTGTTTCGGGTTGGCGAGCATTGCAGAGCAGTGTGATCACTGGCACTGTAAATGAGGGTTTGGGGTTCTTTGACGTAAGTCAGGCATTGTTTTTGCCTCATGTGTTGTGTTTTTTCTTTTATAAACAGAGGACTGCTGTCCAGATCTATTCTGCAAGCACAGAGTGCTTCTCCAATTTTCACTCATGTTTATGCAGCACTAGTGGCAATTATCAATTCAAAATTTCCACAAATTGGAGAGCTAATCCTCAGAAGGTTAATTCTTAATTTTCGGAAAGGCTATCGAAGAAACGATAAGGTATGTGATGGACTTAGGGACTTGTGGACTACCACAGAGAGACAGACTAGCAAACCAAGTATCAGTAATAATGAACAATGTTAATTCTGCAGAGGAATTTTTTAAACACTGTGTAATGGAGTCATGAGAACTCTTTAGTTCTAGTAAATATCCATGGCCACAAAATGTATACCTAAAACTAGAGCACTTTAACTGGTTAGCCAGGAATGGCACTCTTTTGTTGGTATTGTTTTTTCGCCTTAAAATTTCCATAAAAATTAATTTGGGTGTATTGCTTATTTCAAACAATGTGTTAGTAGCTTCTGTAGATGTAAAAATCATTTTAGACTATAGATTAACTTTTGTCTCTCTCTTCACTTTTCAGCAACTTTGTCTGACGGCTTCAAAATTTGTGGCTCATCTTATTAACCAAAATGTGGTAAGTAATTCCATGCAGTATGTGGCTCTATTCAGTGACATGTTTGTTTCTTTTTTATTTATATTTGAAATAAGTATCTAGGATGATATTTTACTTTAAAACTATTAAATTCATTTCATATTCTTTGATATTAAAAGAAAGCACAACATTCTTACTTTTTAAATTGATCTAAACTCTTAATATTGTATACAATTGCCCACAATTTAAATTTCTACAAAGAAAACAATTTAAGTGTTTTGTCTTTTTGTTGTTGTTGAGACTATGCACAGCAGACAGAGTATATACCAGGTCAGTGGTTTCTGCATGTACAGTTTGGTGACATTGATTACCTTCAAGTTGTGCCACCATTTTCAGTCTTGGCTGAATTGTGCTTACCTCATTATACAGAAGCTCATTTCCCTTTAAGTTTCTTTTCTAATCTCTCCAGTTAATTGTTTTTATAAGACATCAAAATTCATAGTCTCTTCTCCACACGTCCCTCCTATACCTAGTGCTCATGCAAATGTAATAAATAACTGGTATTCTACAAGCTTGATTTCTTGCAATTGCATATACATAGTGATATTTTTAGAATCAGCTTCTCAAATATAGATTAAATTATCTTAATTTGTTTTAAATACAACCAGTTTTTTACTACTCTTGTCTTTGTGCCTATTTTGTATCTAAAGACTATTGGGGAATATTAATTTAGCTTCTCTTTGAACCTGAAAAAAAATAGTAAAATTGTTCTTATACTCAAGATTTCTTTAAATTTAAATGCTCAAGATGCATATTAAATTTAGTATCAATAAGTGAAAGAATTTTGATCATACTTAATCTTGTTTTAATGGCATTTTTTTACTTACATGAAATTGCTTCTGATGTTTATCTTAAAAAACCTTTGGATTTTAACCCCATCTCATTACATATTTTATTGTTACATTTTATTATTATGTATTATTTTAACCTCATATTAATACAGTGATGACCATGTAAACAATTTCATCTGCCACAGAACATAACATATGGTTCAGTTTTTTAACTATATGTATATTACACTTGAACTAGAAATAATTTTTGGCATTGTCACAGAAATTGACTAGCTTGGGACAGAATTTTCTCTTCACTAATGAAAGACTTTTTGAACCTCTTCTCTCCTCTCAGATGTATTTTATATACTTTCGTGGATGGTAACAGGAAATTCTTCTGAGTTGAGATTCAGTTACCTCTTCCTCATCTCAAATGAATAGCTGATTTAAAAAAAACATGCATGAAGCTTTGAACATGCTTTCTAGTTCATTTTCCCTTTACAGTAAAGCTTCTCAATAAGATTTTATTCTCACTCTTCTGGTCACTGCTAATGGAAATTCATTTTTAAACAAGTCAGGTTTATTTTTTGTTTGTTTATTTGTTTAAATGTTTAAAACTGTCCAGAAATCTTGACGATGTTTTTGAGTAAAATTAACATTTGTATATATTAGGACTATTTGCTGTTTGACAGAATTACTGCATGGATAACTTTGGAAATAAATATAAATAGTTATGGTCATGGAAAAGCCTACAAAAGGAGACATTACTAACATAATGGTTATAAAAATTATCATTTTAGCTATTGATTCATGATTTTTCAAACTTTACTTTGAAGTTATAGTGTTGCATGTTTATAATATTAAAAGGTATGTTGTCCCATGGATATATGAGGGGGTACCCCCCAAAACTGCAATTTTTTCCCAAACAATGCATTTAAATTTTTTTTTACTAAATACCCTTATCACCTTCAAAGTACTCCCCATTACACTTACATTTGTCAAATCTGCTGTTCCATTCTTGAAAACATTGTTCAAACTCACCTGTTTGGATGGCTCACAGCACCTCCCTCGCTTTTCCCTTCACTTTTTATATGTGTTCAAATTCCTATCCTCTCATGCCCCTCTTCATTCGCGGAACAAAAAGAAGTCACTTGGAGTGAGGTCAGGTGAGTGAGGTGCCAAACACTGGCTGCATGAGCAGGTACATTGCCTATCAACATTGTGGCAAAACCATTCCCCCATCTGCCACAAATCAAGCCTTTCTTGTCACATACTGTTACGCAATCTTTCAGAACCTATAAATAGCTTGATTAACACTCTGACCTGGTGGAATGAACTCCCAAGTGCATATCCTCCTCACATCAAAAATACAAACAAGAATCGGGTTTTTTTTGCAGGGGGGGGGGGCCTCCTATGCTGTGAAGCAAATTCACATTTTGTGAGCATCATCTGGAAATTCTGAACAGGAAGTTACTGAAAGTGAAAGAAAAAAATTACTCCATGTTTGGAGAGATTACATATATAACATTTTGATATCATTTATGTAATTTTGTAATATACAGATTAACTAAGTTTGAAAATTATGTCAACAGTAAGTTAATATACCTAAAAGCATTTTTTCTTTTTCAAATGCCTTTGTTTTACTCAAGGCACATGAAGTCTTATGCTTAGAGATGCTCACTTTGCTTCTGGAAAGACCTACGGATGACAGTGTTGAAGTAGCTATTGGTTTTTTGAAAGAATGTGGACTCAAATTAACAGAAGTATCTCCAAAAGGGATTAATGGTAAGTGCATCCTTTCTTTGATATGGAGCATTTATTTGAATATTATAATACTTACTGCTTATTTGTCTTACTGTTTATTTAATTGTCTTTTCTTTCTTTTTAACTTTAGCTATATTTGAACGCCTTCGAAACATTCTCCATGAGTCTGAAATTGACAAAAGAGTTCAGTATATGATTGAAGTGATGTTTGCAGTTCGGAAAGATGGCTTCAAAGATCACCCTGTGATCCTAGAAGGGCTTGATCTAGTAGAAGAGGATGATCAGTTCACCCATATGCTCCCTCTGGAGGATGACTATAATCCAGAAGATGTTCTCAGTTAGTCTGGGGCAGCTGCAGTGGGGTAGTGGGGCACCAATAAATGCAAAGATAAAAAATAAACACTTTTCTGGTTTGTTTGTTTTTTTAAGATGTTTTCAAGATGGATCCCAATTTTATGGAGAATGAAGAGAAGTACAAAGCCATTAAAAAAGGTACGTAGATCCTGCCAGTAGCATATGCTTGTCTCAAAGATTAAGCCATGAATGTCTAAGTACGCACGGCCGGTACAGTGAGAAAAAAAAAAGGTATGTAGAATAAACCCGTCAGGAACACTACTGGGAGTAGTGATACCATGAGGTAGGAGGAAGGTGGGGGGAGAAGGGAACAGATTACAGTGATCAACTTATAACACCACCACCCCCGCCCCCCAAAGGGGATGAACAGCAGAAACATGGGTGAATATAGACAGCAGATGGGGTAAGATATGAAAATAATAATACTTTATAATGTATCAAGGGGTCACAAGTGGGAGAGGTGGGGAGGGAAATAAGGAGCAGCTACCAAGGGCTCAAATACAAAGAAAATGTTTAGGAAATGATGATGGCAATATATGTATAAATGTACTTAATATAATTGATGTATGGATTTTAAGAGCACCCGATAAAATGATTTATTTTTTTTAAGTAGACCTTTTAAAAGAATTTATCTTAGATAAGCAGATGAGGGAACTACATAAATAGTGATGAGAAACATATAGATCAGTGGTCCCCGCACAAAGAATTCTCTGTTTTTGTTGAGCCATTCTCTGTATTGTTATTGTCTCATGCTCACCCGAGACCATTTTCTAAAGTGAGGTTCACTGTAGCCCACCAATTTCCTTTCTCTAGTTTCCTAAGAGCTGCAAGTAGTTTTGTGGAATTTATTTTATGCCTCGTGTCGTCCTTTTTAACTTGGGAATTCCCCATCCATTTCTTTAGGGCCTCTGAGAGATTGCCTAATACCTGAAAAGTAGCCCTTTCCTGTATTATTATAACAGTTCTTAATCTGTGGTCTAAGAGTTTTTTGTTCTCCTGAAAATTAGCTTTTGTCTGTGCAGGCTATACCTATTGGCATTTATTAGGGATTAAAACTGGAAATTTTAAAATAATGTTATAGTTCTTGTTACATTAAATAATTTATTTTAAAATAATAATGGCAAGCCAATTCATGTTAACATCTTAAATATTTTTAGGAAAATAACTTAAAAAATAAAAATATAGTGAGAATGCCATGTTTTGTATTACTGCAAATTTGCTGAATGTGTGACTACATTCAGTCTATTGTAACACATAGTTTTGATTGAAGCCATTGAAAGAAGTAAGCCTGCACAGTATGTTAGATGGAAAAGGTGTGACTATTGTAATAGTTTTTTCAGATAATTATGTGTCCAGAGGTTCTGCATCTGCAGGGATAGGGATCCAGAAAGTAAATCCTTGCTCTGTCATGCCCTGAACACTTCACTGAACCCACGTGAATAAATGGATGTGTGAGCGTGCTCTGCTGTAGCCTCCCTCCCACCTGACCATGTTTCACAGATCCCCCGTTGTTTGAGCGTTATTCACCTTGTGCCTCATTCCTCCACCACTTATCTTGTGTATGCACCTTTAGTTTCTGTGGAATCATGGCAGCTTAAAACCAATTCAGTTGTCAAACTAATCCATCAACGAAGGAGTATAAGGTGCTGTTATTTACATAGTATTTCTATTGTTTGGGTATTATAAGTAATCTGAGATGGCTTTAAAGTACACAAGAGGATGAAAAGAGATTATATGCAAATTCTACACCATTGTATTTAACTTGGGTGTCCATGGATTTGGTACCTGATTGGGGTGGTGATTCTGGGAATAACTCCCTTAGATACCTGTGGATACCTATATATTCTTGTTACTATGGTAATATTCAGCAAGTGATTAACTTTTAAAGAGAAATTGTTATGGGATTCTTAAGCACTATTAATGCACTTTTTATACTCTGTTATGTGAAATTTCCTTAGTCTGCCTTGTTATATGGATCTTTTATTCCTGCATGATTTTATAAATGTTAAATGTGCATTTGGAAATTACGTAAACAATGTAAAAAGTGTTACGTTTATGTATCTACGACATGCTGTTATGCAATAGCAGATTATCAACATTTGTTGATACAATTAGGTGTTTTCAGAAACATCTTAAGTATCAAGAGACTGTCAAGCTAATCAACATTGATTGTAATTTTCTCTTAAAAACTTTGATTTTCATCATGGTGGCAAATACTTTTGTTTTTCTTGAATGACAGGCTCACTTTGAGAATTGGAGAATGCCTAATAACCAGTTTGTCAGCTAGTCTTTCAAATAAAAAACTTAAAAAAGAGCTAATTCATCTTGCAACACAGTCTCACGCATGCTTTTCCTTACAATGCCAATCACCATGACACATCTGTCTTTAGTAGAAGTGCTGTATAACATGAGCTTCATGTTTTGTCACTCAGACTGTTACAAAAGCAACCTGAAAGCTTCCATTTTAATAAAATGAGGTTTTACTTCTTCACCACTGACATTTTTAAACGAAACTAGCCTTCCCCTTCCCCTGTGCCAGAGTGGGGCAGCAGAGAGTGTAGTGATGATCAGTGCAGTTTGTTGCCTTGGTTGTGCTGGAATTGCAACCGGTGTAACTGACTGCTTGGGAACCACCATTAATGGCACACGTCACCACCGTGAAACTGTCAATAATGCCCTGCTGTTACTAAGAAAATAGTTTTGACCTCATAGATCACTGGACCCGACCTCAGGAGCTCATAGACCGTATGCTGAAAACCACTTTATTCAATCCGTTAAGAAAATCCAATAGCCATTGCCTCAGGGATTCTGATAAGTAGATTCTAAAGTGGAAAGCTGAGAGGATGATGTAAACAGTTAGATAATTCGTTTGACCTTCATTCTTTCATAAAATGTTGTTCTAAAGCTGGCATGGAAATATGGGCACAGCAGGAAGAGAGCACAGCTTTAGTAATTAGCACCTAGAGTGACCCAGGAGTACTTGTGTTTTGGGTCTTACAGCAGTTGGCAAAACAGCAGGCATGCCTCTGCCTACTGTTGAATGCTAACATGCTTTCTCTCTTTAAAGCCTAAGCCATCTTGCATAGTAATAAACTAGATGTCACATATCACTTCTCCAAGTTCACTTTGCTAGATATATTCCTGAAGAGGTGTGTGTATCAGATAAAAGTCTGAAAGAAACTTTTTTTGTAGAATAATTTGTTCCTCGTAGTGTCACATTTTCTCCAGATAGTCAATATTATATCTTCTGATTTATACTGCTTTCGTTAACTTGAAAGACGCTATAATTTTTCCCAAAATTAATTGGCTCCCAAACTTTCTAATTAAATCAAAATGCAAAAGTGAAGTATGCCCTGATTATAAAAGTACAATGCATACAAGAAAATAAGTGCCAAATATAATTTTAGTTTTTGGCCTGCTTACATCACTTTTCGATCAGTTTCTAAAGGAGAGTTTTATTTTAAGAAGTTATAGATAATTCATTAAAAGTACTCATCTTACCAATTTTTGTTAAGATTTTAAAACTTTAGTTTTTACTTACATATAAAATGCCTCTGGTTGGATTATATTATGCAATTTAATAAGTATACACCTTAATAAAAACCTTATTACTTATTAAAAAACACTAATTTATGCAATTAGGTTAAGTAAATCATTAACAAACTTTTTCTATAGCTATCTTTGCTTGTTTTATAATTATAGTTGTAATGGAAGTGTCATATTTTTACTCCACTATGCCAGTTCCCATTCTGTTTTTTTTCCCATGGTCTACTTTTGGAAAACTTAGACTTCCCTCTTTGTTCACATAACTGCTTTGTTCAGTGGCCACTTTTTATCTGTCCAAAGAATGATAACTTATGGCGCCCTCTAGTCAAATTAGTTGTAATGCTTTCTTATCATCGAGGCAATAATGAAAGCCTGTGTGATGATAGTTTAGTGTTGTTATTTGATACAGTATTATTTACTGTGGTTTTCAATGAATTGATAATATCTTGTCAGAATGAGATACCTGTGTATAACTTACTAATTAATTTTACCCTAAACTTTTTTGGTCTTAAAGAAATTCTTGATGAAGGAGACAGTGACTCAAACACAGATCAAGATGCTGGAAGTAGTGATGATGATGAGGAAGAGGAGGAAGATGAAGAAGGAGAAGAAGATGAAGAAGGTAAAGGTGCTTATCAAGTAACATAATGTGAAATACTGTAAAGGTGCTTATCAAGTAACAATGTGAAATACTGTAATGTTCATTGAGTAGAAGGATATTTTGCCTGGACACATTTCACAACTACTGGAGGTATTTTTTGGTTGGAGAGGGATGTTACTGGCATCTAGTAGGTAAAGGCTAAGGAAACTTAAAACATTTACAAGTCACCAACAAAGAATTATTCAGCCCAAAATCTTACAAGTTTGAGAACTCCTTCTCTGAAAGTAATAAATGAGAAAATTCATCTTAACATCAACTTGATTTTTTTGTTGTTTTTTATTACTTTGGTTCTATTATAAAATACAAAGAAGGTATTTCCATGTTGAGTATGTGAAGTTTGTGCAGTTGTGGCAAAAATGGGACAATGAGAATGACTAGATATCTGCTGCTCATTAAGGCAAAATACACTGGGGAGGCCAAAGCTATCTTTGTACAGAAGCAAGCTTGGTGTTCTTCATCTTCAGCTCTGGTTTCCACTATTATTTCATGGAAAAATAAAGTCAAAATTGTACTTTGTAATACATATATTGCATCTCTGAAAGCATTAAAAGTATATTATCCTCAGAAAAACAAAATGCAATGCCAGTTGATTCCAGTTCATAGTGATTCTACAGAGACTGCCCTTGGGCGTTTCAAGGCTGTAAATCTTTACAGGAATAGAAAGCGTCGTCTTTCTCACACAGAGCGGCTAGAGGTTTCAGCCTGCTTACCTTGCAAGTCGCAGCCCAACTGGTAACAAACACTACACCACCAGGGTTCCTCTTTAAAAGGGCATATGTACAATCGGCCATCTAGCAGAGAAGCAACAAACTTCACATGGAAGAAGCACACCAGCCTGCGTGATCATGAGGTGTTGATGGGATCAGGTATCCGGCATCAAAGACCCAAAACAAAAAAATAATCAATGTGAATGGGGGAGTGTGGAGACCCGAAGCCCATCTAGACAATTGGACATTCCCTTACAGAAGGGTCACAAGGAAGAGACGAACCAGTCAGGGTGCAGTATTGCACCGATGAAACATACAGCTTTTCTCTAGTTCTTTAATGCTACCCTCCCTCCATGGCCCCAATTCTACCTTACAGATCCGGCTAGACCAGAGCATGTACATGGGTACAGAGAAGAGCTGGAGACACAGGGAGTCCAGGACAGATAAACCCCTCAAAACCAATAATGAGAGTAGTGATACCAGGAGGGGAAGGGGTAGGTGGGGGGAGAAGCGGGGAACCGATCACAATGATCTACATATAACCCCCTGGAACAGACAACATCAAAGTGGGTGAAGGGAGATATCAATCAGTGTAAGACATGAAAAAATAATTTATAAAGTATCAAGGGCTCATGAGGGAGAGAAAAAAATGAGCTGATATCAAGGGCTCAAGTAGAAAGAAAATATTGAAAATGATGACAACATATGTACAAATGTGCTTGACACAATGGATGGATGTATGGATTGTGATAAGAGTTATATGAACTCCCAATAAAATGATGAAAAATAATAATAAGAGGGCATATGTATTTTAGTTCGCAGAGCATAATAGCTCTTCTATAACATTGTAAAATAAGTTTAATGTTTTTTAAACATTTAACTATGTTTTAAACTATGTTTTAACTATGTTTAAAATTCATTTTGCATTAGAATTTATGAAAGTACAATTCAAATAAATATTACTATTAAATATCTGTAAGTAAAGCTATCATGTTTTACAAAAGAAAAAAATTGACCAATAGATATATTTGTTAGATTTTCTGACCAATTATATTGATCCACTCTTCCTTCAAAGTGAATTTCTTCCCATGAGTTATTTCAAATGATTAAATTCACATACAAATTTATAGAGAAGCAGACTCCTTTGGAAAGATGACTATGATGGGAATATGAAACATAATGAACGATATTTTACCAAACAACAGCAAGAATGCTGTGTTTTATAGTCGCTAAATGAGCAGTAACGAACACAAAAAGTTTTCCTGTTTTGGTTCTAGACTTGAGTGAACAAAACTTATTAAATAAAATTACTCTTAAGATAAAGCTAAAGAAAACAAAAATCCTCACAACTGGACCAGTAAGTCACGTCATGATAAATAGAAAAGATTAAAATTGTCAAGGATTTCATCTTGCTTGGATCCACAATCAATGCCCACGTGGACCGCAATGAAGAAAGGACACATTGCATTGGGTTAATCTGCACAAGACCTCTTTAAAGTGTTGAAGAGCACGGATGTTACTTTGAGCACTAAGGTGAGTCTGACCCAAGCCATAGTATTTTCAGTCACTTCACATGCATGTAAAAGTTGTACTAAAGAAGAATCAATGCATTTGAACTATGGTGTTGGCGAAGAATATTGAAAGTACCATGGACTGCCAAAAAGCACCCACAGATCTATCTGTCTTGGGACAAATACCGTCAGAATGCTCCTAAGAGGCAAGGATGGCAAGACTGTGAGTCACATACTTTGGACATGTCAGGAGAACTCAGTCCCTGGAGAAGGACATCGTGCTTGGTAAAGTGGAGAAGAGCAAAACAAGAGGAAGGCCCTCCACAAGATGGATTGACGCGTTGCTGTAACAAGGGGCTGAAACATAAGGGAAAATTGTGAGGTGGACGCAGGACTGGGCATTGCTCTTTCTGCTGTTCATGGGGTTGCTCTCTATGGGTTGGAACCAACTTGCTGGCAAAACAACAAAGACGTGAAAAAGTTACTTAATGTTGTAAATACTTAATTTACACAGAAAATCTTCTTAAACTCAAATTCTGAATCATTTTATAAAAAAATACATTTTCAAGTCTTTACTTTTATTTTCTTAAATTTTCCTGTGCTTAATTTCTTCCAGGACAAAAAGTGACTATTCATGACAAAACAGAAATTAATCTTGTCTCATTTCGTCGCACAATTTATCTTGCTATTCAGTCAAGGTAAGAGGTGAACATTCAGTAGTAGGGCCTCATTTTGACAGGTAGATCAAGGATGTACTTTATAATTTGATGACAGAATAACTAGATTCTCAGGCAATCTCTTTACCATCACCACCACTACCAAGTGATTAGTAATTCAGGACTTTTTTTTTTTAACTTAATTGGAAGGTTACATAATTAAGCATTTTTAGCTCTCTCATTGCTTATAGTTCTTTATAGAGCTAGCATAGTATTCAATTATATAATAGAGATATTTATCCTAATCTTGGTCCTAAACAGAAGTATTATTAACTATTGTTTACTGATGTGCTATGCCGATTGAAATGTATATCATTACCAGTGGAAATGACTGTGTGTAAGCCGGGTTTTTCAGCACATTTTTAATGTAGTTTTTGTGGTGAAATTAGGTGCCTTGGCTGATATTTGGGTCGGCTCATACTTCAGTATATACAGTACACTTGAACGTTTTGAAGAACCTTTGATTTAAAGTTAATATCCATTACCTTCCACTACTGTCAAGGTAATTCCAACCTGTGGCAGCCCTATGTAAGGTTAGAGACTAAATGTTTATGGGAGCAGACAGCTGGTGGCTTTGAACAGCTGACTTTATGATTAGCAGTCCAGTGCCTAGCCCACAATGCCACATGCCAGACCCTGTGTTTGATTTTGAAGAGAAATAAATGAGAATGTTAAAAGCTTAATGCGCTGTTGTTTTTGGTGAGAATCAACCTATTGAGTTAGTGGGCACGGTATTTACATTTTACACAGGAGGAGGATTGTTTTCTCAGTTTTGTTTCATTGCTAGGTTTTGTATATTTCCATTTAGTATGAAGTAATAGCAATGATGACTCATAAGTAGGAGTCATCTTGTTTTCATTCTGTTTGAAAATTTTTTGGCTTTGGATTCATCTTCAGTGAGAGGAATATTAACAGCCAAACATGGGTTGGAAGTGTGGTTGCTCTTAGCTATTTATTTTTCACATGAAAGAGAAAACTTTCAGACAAGCTTAATAGGAGAAATTGTTTTATTAAAGATTCATACTCTTAGAGTTTGGCCTTCTTTTTGTCCTTTGTATATATTGTATGGTATATTTGTGAACAGCTGATTCACTATTTTAATATTATAATTAACTTTAACTTTGAAGAGTTTTGTGAAAGTCTTTGGGTCATTATTGAAAAGAAAGCATTTTTAAAAGTGACTTGTTGGTACTTTGTCAATCAAACAAGACATGGAAAAATCTAAGTGTTAATAGATACATGGCCTTTATCCTAGTAGTAATAACCAACTTTAAATGTTGATAATTGTTTTAAAAAACAATTTTATATATAACAGTGTATTGGGTTTTGTTTGCTTTATTTATTTACTTTGAATGTCTTGACTGAATTATATACAAAATTACCACTAGAAAAAAAATTGGGAAAACATTGTTCAACACTGTTTATGCACTACTGAAAATGAAGTTAATGGAGAACCACCACTATTTGAACAAGTGGTGTTTGGTAAAATGTTAGGTGGGGTGGGGGGGAAGTATCACATAGAACTATGCCTGTGATATTCTCTTAATTGTATAAATTTCCCAAATACAAACCAGTTGGCATCCATTTGATTCCAACTCATAACCCGAAGGCAGGATAGAACTGTCCTATCAGACTTTCCAGGTTAAAAATCTTGGCAGAAGCCATGCCAACTGTCACATCTCTGTTCCCTGGAGGAGCTGGTAGAGTTACATCACTGACCCTGTAGGTAGCAGCTGACTGTCATCATGGCACCACCAGGACCCCTTGTATACCACAGTAGAGATCAAGGCTAAAACGTAATCGTAAGTCTGATCACTATGAGATAATTTTATATAAATTCACATTTAGAAATCTTGAGAATAAAGCTAGGTCTGATAGTTGAACTACATGGAGAATTTTATTTTCCAATTTCTTTCAAACCTTTATTTTCCTCTTACTGTTCAGGTTCCTTAAATAAAATAACCCTTTTTTTGTTTTCGCAATATAAACTACAGGATTGACTTTGCTCCTGAAAACAGTGCATTCCTGTTTTTTGTTTATTTTAAATGATGTTTCCATCTTACTTTACATTAAAGCTGTAGCATCAGAGTGAGGTGACACTACCATGCTTCCACTAATTTAACGTTTTCTAAGATTGGACATTTTGATAGACTCATTTGCCACTGCAGCTTGAAAACTGGCATTAAGTAGACAAGACAGTAGTTTAGTAAATGTGTCCCTTTTTATGTTTTGTTTTATAAGGATATCTACATACATATTTTTAAATTTTATTTTATTGAGGGCTCTTACAGATATGTTATCACCTTTTACAAAACATGTTCTTTCTACTTGAACCCTTGGTATCAGCTCCTCATTTTTCCCCCTCCCTCCCCCATGTCCCCTTGATAATTTATAAATTATTCTCTTTTTTTCATATCTTAACACCGACCACTGTCTCCCTTCACCCACTTTTCTGCTGTATCCCCCTGGGAGGGAGTCCATACGTCAATTATTGTGATTGGTTCCCCCTTACCCCACCCCCCACCCCTCCCTTCCCTTCCCCTCCTACTGTCGGTGCTCCACTTACTGGTCCTGAGGGGTTTATCTGTTCTGGATTCCCTGTGTTGCAAGATCCCATCTGCACCAGTATAGATGTTCTAGTCTAGCCAAATTTGTAAGATTGAATTGGGGTTGTGATAGTGTGTGTGTGTGTGTGTGTGTTGGGGGGGGGG